CCCCAAAACCCCAAAACCCCAAAACCCCAAAACCCCAAAACCCCAAAATATTTGAGGATATTGCAAAAGATGACTTAAAGGCTTTTTAGTTAAGTAAAACAATGAATTTGAATCTTTGTGAATTTAAAATTTGTCTTCAAATTTTTTAAGCCTATTAAGACAACCATTGTTGTGGATAATGATTTTGCATATAAATGAATTTAACCTAAAACTAAATGTTTTCTTTGTCCTGCTGTAATTTAGATTTCTATATTTATCCAAATTTGATTTTACATTCTTATTACATTTTGTCTTTGTTAACCTTTTCTAAAGTGTTGTCAATGAATTTGGTAATTGCTTCATTAAGTACAAACATCATTGACCCAACTGGAAATCCCACGACTAAGCATGGAACGATTCCTCGGTATAGTCTCCTGATTCCATTTTCTCTGTACAAACTCAGAAAAGTTGGCACCATTTTAGAATGTTTGGGACTGTATTGGATGGTGTTTTTAACCATGTCTATTGGATAAGAAACCAGCCAAAACAACTGGCCTGAGATTCCTCCAGCGAGTCATGTATAGAGAGTCTTCTTGACTTTGTGTTCAGAAAGATCATTGATGTGTAGTCTTTTCTTAAGAATATGGTAGCTTGAAAAGAACACTCCAAATCCTGGCACATTTCTAGCAATTATAGGAACTATCCCTTTATAAAGCCCTCTGATTCTTTCTTGTTGGATCAACTTCATATAAGAAATTTTGCCTTCGGAATACCCTTGCTTTTTGATCTTTAGATGCTCCATTGGGCAAGCGACAGGAGCCGATACGATTGCAGCAAAGATCCCAGATAACACAAATTTAGTCTCTTGATTGATTTTAAAAGGTTCAAGTTTGCGTCTACAGTAAGCGTTAGATGCCCAGACAATTCCAGAAGTTGGAGCTCTTCCAAGTACAGGAGACATAGCCCCCTTGTACATGCCTGTGACACCTTCTTTTGCTAGTATCTCTGAGAAGACTCTGAAGGCACTCTTTGAATTATAGAGTTGCATTCTCACTTTGACTGTATCCATGGGATATCCCATAAAGATGGCAGTGCCTGTTGAGATGAAAGCTGCGACAAAATCTTTTAGAAATTTTTGGATTCCACGATACTTCATAGCAGGTTCAGAAGTATCATTCTTATTTATCATTTCTTCTAAAAAATCAATATTTTTAATATTTTTGGGGTTTTGGGGTTTTGGGGTTTTGGGG